TTCGCCTTGTGGAGACATGCAAGCTGATGTGTCTATCTGCCCCATGAGGTTGCTGGGAAGATTAAATGCCCCACCCCAGGCGCCCTGGGCCCAGCTTGGAGTATCCCTGCAGCCATGACAGACTTTTCCCACCCTCCGTCCTCAGCACCCCAGAACCAGCCCAGGGCCCTGAACAAGTGAGAACAGGCCTGCTGGAGGCATTCCCACCCCACTTCCTCCTCCAGGGGGCGAGTCTGAGCGCTTTCTACACAGCTGACTCTCAGAGGACCCCAGAGGGACTGAGCCCAGCGGCCTGTGCACTGGGCCACCCTCCCCGGCCTCTCTCTTCCCCATCCCTGGGATCACCTCCCAAACTCACTAGCTGCCCGCACACCCTTGTCTCGGGCTGCCTGGGGGAAGTGGGACGGGAGGCTCCGTCTATGCTCGGGCACTGGTGACCTGCGTGTGGAGCAGACGCCCAGTGCGTGGTCGTAGCTGCTATTCCTTCTGCTCTATGATTAATCCAGCGGCCTCTTCCTCATTATGCACAGTGGCCCACCGTGAATCTGAGCTGGAGGCGGCAAAGCTCCCTCCTTGGGAGGGCTTGGTCTGGTGGAAGGTTCTAGAAAGGGTGGTCATTTGGAGGAAAAGCCTTTGAGAGCCGTAAGATTCTCTCATGGTGAGAACGGACGCTGGAGGGCCGTTCTGTTCTGGGATGTGTGTGCCTCACTTCATCTCTCCTCCTGCCGTGAAGATGCAGGGCCCCAGCTGGCTGGCAGAGGACGGGCTCAGAGCCCCAGACAGGGGAACGGCTGCAGCCCACGAAGGCTGGCAGGAGTGCGCCGAGCACGGCAGGCCTGCCCGCGGCTTCTGCAACTCCAGCCACTTCCTTCCAGCAGTTCTCGGGCGGCCCACGCTGAGTTCAAAGTCAACCTTCCCTCAGTTGTGACATGCCCGTCTGATGCCTGCCAAATGCCCACTCTGCTCTGCAAGGCGCCGTTTCGTGCGGCATGACACACACGCTGCACACACGTGCACACACACACACACACCATGAGTGTCTGCCTGCTTTAAGACAGCTTGGGTTTGAAGTCACCATTGCACCTGCCGGTCCCTGTCACACTGTGGGTCTGTTTGGCCTCCCACCCACCCAGGGAGTCCTAGGTGAGTCCCCTTCAGGGACCATGGCTCAGTCCCAAGGGACCAGGGCTTGGTCAGGCTGCCCCCTCCACAGAAGCAAACACACCCAAGTGTCCAGCAAAGACAGGGCCTGGGTCTGGGCTGCTCAACACCCCCAAAGGCTGTGCAGGGAGCCAGGTGTTGGGCACCAGAAAAAAAGTTGGCAGCCCTAGCTTCTCAGTCAGACACTGTCCGCCCGTCTGCTCCTTTTCCGAGTCACCACCTCCGTACCCACCGTCCCCGTGGGCCTGCCCATTGGCCCCTTTTCCGTGTCACCACCTACACGCCCACTGTCCCCATGGACCCGCCCGTCAGCTCCTTTTCCGAGTCACCACCTGCACACCCACCGTCCCCATGGGAGCCTTAGTGCAGCTCGTTGCTCCCACCCCTAACCTGCCAGCCCAGTGCAGCCTCCCGGCCTTTGCTCCTGCTGTTCCCTCTTTCCAAAATGCCCTTCCTGTGCCCCAGACTCCCTTACACAAGGGCTCTCCCAACTCCTATCCTACACCCCCAGCCCCAGCTCAGACATCGCCTCCCTGACCTCTGTCTATGGCCGCTTCTTGCTCTCCCCTGGGGCAATGCAGGGTCTGGATTGGCCACAGTGTCCCCCACCCCGTGCCCCTCTGGTCTGACTCAGGCGACTCCCCTGCCCTTCACGCTCCCAGATCCCCATCTTCAGTGTGGCTGTCCCCATCTCAACGCTGCCCAGTGAGGGCGGGACCATGGCCAATCCACATTGGGCGGAGAAGGAAAGCACACCCCCCTGTCCCAGACACCCTCTGCAGGCAGGAGCAGCATCCCACGGAGGTCAATGTCAACACCATCCCACCTTACAGGCAAGGCAAGTGAGCGGCTGAGACATCAAGGGATGTAACAGCCATTGAGAGGCACAGCTGGGATGGGAACCCCAGACTGCTGACTCCGAGAGACAGCAGAGGGAAGGAAGAGCGGCCAGTGAACTCTGCCTGGGCAGGCCTGGGCCCTGCTCTAGATATCTGGTGCTGTGCCCACTACAGAGAAGGAATCCGGTACGCAGTTGGGGTTAGATGGGCTGGGGGCAGGGTGCGGGATGGACAGTGAGCTCTCAGAGGGCACAGCTCTCATGTTGACCATGTCGGGAAACTGAGGCTCGGAGAGGGTCAGGGACTTGCCCAGGTCCTCTGCCCTCTGGCCAGGAGGGCGTCCACCCACCCTGTGCCCCCAAAACAGGCTCAGGAGTTGGAAGGAGAAACTAACAGCAGCCACAGGGCCAGGGTCCCATCTGCCCTGGTCCACCCTGGTGCCTCCCAGCATGGCTCAATCCTCTGGCTGCCACCCCACGTGGAGGGGCCAAGGCCAGGTTGGATGAGCTGAGCAGTGGCGAGTGCTTGGGGACATGTGCAGAGCCAGGGTGACCCCAGAGTGGGGCTGTTTGCCCGAGAAGTGAGGGGCCCTCCCACCTGGAAAAGCAGCCCCAGCGCCAGTAGATGGGGCTCACCTCAAACTTGAGCTGCTTCTTGGAGCCCGGACAAGACTCGCCAGCCTTCTCCATCCTCTTCTCATCTCCACTGCCAGGCGCCTCTGTCTTCTCCGGGGGCAAGGCCACTGCGGGGAGCGAGGGAGAAAGCGGGAGGCAGGGGCTCCCATCGGAGGCTGTCAGGGCCCCGGGCCTGCCGTGGCTTTGTCCCTGGGACCTGGCATGCAGGGCACCTCTGCCCCCGCCCTGCCTGTTGGCTGGGGTCTGCATCACTCTGCTCTCTGCTGCCTGGGAGTGCCTGGGGCAGCTGCAGGGGGCTCCCCAAGCAGGGCGCATCCTCACCAGCCACGCCGGGCACCCACCCGGCCTCTCAGGTGTCCACCCTCTGCCCATCCTCAAGACCTGCAGCCTGCGTGTTCAAGTCCTGCACAGGAACGTGTCCCCCACTCCCACCCCCCAGGGCAGTGTCCGGCCTAGGGGCAGGATGATGAGGGCACGGGGAGCTTCAGGAGCTAGGGGACCAGGGACGTTTCCTACAGTCTCACAGCTGACACCTGGGCCTCCTCAAAGATGCTCCTGTCCGGGCCCAAGCAGGGGAGCACACTGCCCGGGGTGGGGTGGGGGGATCAGGAGGAGGGAGAGGAACAGTCCAACCCAGGTGGTGAAAGGCACGCACGCACCCACATGCACATACGTCGCAGCTTCGGGGAGGAAGCTCCCCCGGAATCTCCCCCTCCTCAAAGGTCACATGCCTCTGCGTGTCCTGGCAGGTGCAGTGGGAAACATGAAATCCCGTGACCCAATGACACCATTCTGCTGAACACCTCCAAGAGGTGCCGGGAGTGCAGTTCAGGGTCACATGCGAGGACCTTGACCTTAGCCCCAGAAGACAAGGCTCCATCCAACCTGGCAGGTGCCCCACCCGACCCCTTTGGTCCCTTCTCCCCATTTGGTCTCTGCTTAGGTGACAGGGCTCAGGTTTGCCCAGGGACACACTTTTCTAGAATGTGTTCACAGCTCCTCTCTCATTAGACTCCCTTTATCGCACTGGGGGAGTGACTCTGTTGTTCTACTTTACAGAACAAATTGAGTCTGGCTCCCACTAGAGGGACCCTCCTGGGTCCCCCTGCATGAGGGATGGCCAGGCTACCGAGGGAGCCTCACGGGGAGCTGCGATGCCCAGCGAGAGAAAAAGGCTGGGCTTGCTCAGGAAGTCAGGAGCCTGGAGCAATGAGGCCCAGGCCAGGAAAGCAGGTGGAAGCCCCCACATCCCCAGCCCCACTACACTCACCCGGCCTGGCAGGTGTCCCTGCCAGGGACTGGTTCTCAGCCCGGCAGCTTGGCACCTGCCCCCAGGTCAGAGCTCTCAGCCCAGTGGTCACCCAAGTCCCACCCACTGTAACCCTCGCACTGTGTGTCTCTCGTTCCTTGGCGCCACTGTGCATAAAGATGAGACAGCGAGCCCACACTGCACCAGACCCCACCCACACTGCACCAGACCCCACCCACACTGCTCACCAGCAACCCCTGGTGGCAGCTACTATCAGTAGCTCTATTTCCCAGATGGGATAACCGAGGTACAAACAGCTCAGGGCTCTGCTGGCAGTGACTGAGCTGGGATTTGAACCCAAGCAGCCGCATCAAGTTCACAAGCACTCTGTTAGACTGCAGTTTCTCCCGCTGTGAAACAAGGACGTCAATGGTCACGCACCCAGGATATTCAACGAGCTATGAACACAAAGGGCTCTGAGGCAGCCCAGCACTCAGCTCCCGGCCAGGAGCGGTGGGTTCAGGGGAATGAGGACCCCACCTCGCTGACCCTGGGCAATCAGGGCAGCCGGAAGCTGAGTTTTCTCCAAGTGGAGGCTTTTGGAACGTGAATGGATACACAATCGCTACGTCACTGGATTCATGATCACTACATCAACACAGCCCAGAAGTCAGTGGGACAGGGAGAGGGAGGAGCTAGCGGGTCACCCAGTTCCTGGCGCAGACATGGCAGGCACAGAAGGCCAGGGCCAGCACCTCCATCCCCAGCTCCCCTGCCCACTGGGCCTGGGGATCTTTCCCTCTCTTTCCTCTGAGCCTATTGGAAGCCGCTAGCCACAGCATTCCGCCTGTGCCACCCAGACTCCGCCATCCACACCAGCTGGTGCCCTGTGGTGCCAGAGCTGCCACCACCACGGGGGCAGAGGACACACAGCACAGCCACTACCACCCGGCCACCAGGGGGCAGGCGCTGCTGTCATCCTGGCTCAGCCAGGGCGGGCGCCTTCCCAGCACTGAGGACTCGCGCCAGCAGCCCGGGCAGGTGCAGCAGAGCTGGCCGAGAGCGCAGCAGTGAGAGGCCAGGCTCAGTCACATCCGGGCTCAGATTCGCACTCTGCCACTGACTCCTCTCTGGGGCTTGATCTCCTGGTCTGCAGAATGGAGAAACAGGAAGAGCTTACTTAGCACACAGTCAGTGCTCAATCAATGCTGGCTTTGCCAAGGATGTCAGTGAGTCATGGTCCTCACGGGCATCCCAGATCCAGATGATCCCCCTTGCCCTAAAATCGCCGCCCTGGAGAAACCAGAGACTTCACGGCTGGCAGCACCCTCCCTTCACCGCCCCCGGGGTGGACAAAACAAAACAAGGCCTCAGCTCCATCTTCAAAGCTGCTACCTCCCCCTGCAGAGGTCCTGGCTGCAGATGCCAGCTGCAAGCCGGCCAGGCTTATCGAAACCAAACTTCAAGTTCAAAGGGAAGTTATCAGAAAAGCACCTTCGGGTTCAGTGTTGCCTTTCATGTTCCACTTGATAAAACCCAAAGAACAGAACCTCTGTCTCTGCTCTCTCCTTCTCACTGTCCCAGCCTACGCACTGGAGAGCCTGTCTTCCCTCTGGTCCTCCCTCCCTGCCTCCGTCCTTTCTCCTTGCCTGGGAGAAGGGATGGAAAACTTCCCCCTCCTCCAAGGACCAGCAGGGCCTGGACTGTCCTTTATCCACAGGTCTCTGCTCCATCCCTGCTCAGTAAACCACCCAGTCCCCACCCCCCCACCCCACCAGGGCAGCCATGGTCAGAGGACAAGCCAGGGTCCTCCGGCAGCACCAGCTGGGCACACTTGGGCAGCAGAACTGCAACCCATCTTGCCCTGAGGCCTTAAGGGGTGGGACAGGGACTGCCGGCACCCAGAGCCCCCATGCCCAGGGCCAGAGGAAGTGGCAGAGAAGTGGTCAGAGGTTGGGGCCGGGACTCAGGGGCCCTGTGCCTATGTTCACATACGAAGCCTCTGGAAGCAAAGCCAGGCAACCACCACAGCCTCGGGCCATCCCTGTGCAGCCCAAACCACCCCCCCCACACACACACAGGCAGCAGGTGCAGGGTGAATGGCACTCCTTGGGGGGGGGGGGCTCCCAGGCACAGCAACCAGGAACAAGATAATGACGCTTGGCAGAGGTGGACTGGGGCACCTGAGCCTGACTTCACCCTCTGTCTCTAATTCCCGCTGAGCTCAGAGAGTTCCTCTCTGGAGATTATCTTCCAAAAGAGGCATAATTTCAGGGAGAATCTGATTACTCTTCAATGCAAGTTCCTAATTTAAAGCAAGCCAGGAAAGCAGAGGAAAAGGTAGAACAAGAGAGGAAGGAGGCAGAGGAGGGAAGAAAGCAAACCTTTCACCTCCCAGGGAAGCACCGCTGGGCGACTCATGGCTAGAGGTGGCAAACTTACCCTGTGAGCCAAGGCCCGCCCACTGTTGTTCTAAATAAAGTTTTATTGGGACACAGCCATGCTCACACACACGCTATGTGGCTGCTTTCATTCCACAACAGCAGAGTGGAACAGTTGCAACAGAGACCGCACAGCCCTCAGAATCTAAAATATGCACCATGTGGCCTTTTACAGAAAAGTTCGGGGATCACTGCTTTGGGTGAACGCAATCCTCTACTCCCTACAGACTACACTAGCCTGGAAACTCTTGCGTAGTACACAACCTGCCCAACCATACACTGTGGCCATGGAAGGAAAAAAAAAAAGTCATCTCTACTTTCACAAAACCAATTCTCAGTCCAAAACAGCACAGGGCGGGGGGCGGGTAACTAGTGACGGGGCTCGTCTTTGGAAGCAGCTCCCTGTCCCGCTCACGCCGCAGCCACGAGCAGTCAGCTCGCTGTGTTTACCCAGTGACGGTTCTCTCCCACATTAGCTCCCAACCTGGCAGAACTCCACCCCCAGCAACTGCCAGATTAAATGCATTACTTGACCATCTTCACCCGGCTCCCTTTGATGTTCTCTTCTCAAGCTTCAAAATACCTTTTGGAGGGAGATCAGACAGCATTAAACAGAATTACTAATTAATTAAGCAAAGTTAAATTTTAAACACTGTTTGTTGTGTTAGCCAAAAGCCTGAACAGAACAGACTTTTTTCCTCCGCTGAGATCAAAGACGGTCTCTTCCCTTTCCCCTCCCCCAGTTTAAAGTGGGGGGGTGGGCAGGAGGAAGAGGGAGAGAAAGAAGGGAGTGAGGAAATACCTGAAGGGTGGCAACTTTGATCCGGGGTCTGGACTCCCATCTCCCACCCCCACCCCACCCCTGGCCACGCCCCCAGGGGCCCAGAGGGAGGCCTCCAGGCTGCTTTGGGACTGCAGGCTGGGGACAGCCACGGTCACTTTCTCAGGCCTGTTTATCCTGGCAAATAGCAGGGGTGCAGGGGGAGGGCAGCAGAGCCCAGCGGGCAGGGGTGCTGACAGCTGGTGCCACCCAAAGAGCAGCAGCAGAAGGGCTGGGAGACGCACCAGGCCCATCCTCTTGCAGCCCCACCCCACCAGGCAGTGCGGGCGGGGCACGGACCTCTGGGCTCCTGTCCCTCAGCGTGGGATCACTTGGGGTCACATGAGACCAGTCCTGGGAAGCACCTTGTGCATGGTTCAACCCCAGGAGGCGCCACCACGAGGCAGGCATCTCAGATACAGGTATTGCACACGACGCTCCAGCACAGAAGGCAGAACGGTGTCTTTTTCTAACTTGCACATGCGGCATGGGCAGGGTCCTGGCTGGGACCCCCTGATTACTGCAAGGAGCCTCCACACCTGCACGGCCTGGTTCTCACGGGGCCCTGCCGGTTCAACGCTCTGGGCTGGCATGTGT